TGTCAAGAATCCTTTTCTGTCACTTTATTTTCAGTATTTTTCGAAGGCTGCTGAAATGTAGATGGTTATGTCTTTTTGCTTGACCTTCATAAGCAGTTTACATCGCCGTCCCGTACGAGGGCGTTATTAGGACAACAACCATGCACACATTCTCAGATTGATTTTGCGTAGGATGCGGCGACAGTTCCGAACAAAATCATTTTGTTGGCCAATGACCTGGCTAGTTTTGAAGATCCGACATGCGATTTCGTCGTCGGTCTTACGTTTCCCGAAATTATGAACTATAGTAGGCCAGCTCATCTACTGTTATGAGGCGAACTCCACTGATATTGATACAGGGTTCTTTGTAATCAACATTTGACGCCTGTTGGTGCACGTGCGCTGTTTCCTCCGAGCTGATGGTCAAGCCGAATTTGGAGCAGTCGAAGGGGAACGGGTCCATACTCCGTTGCATGTCTTTCCTCGTTTTTAGGTTTAGTGCGCAGTTACCTGTGAACAATGGGTTACAAACGTTGGCCTTGAATATCTTAGAAGGTGCTTGCAGGAGAAATATGTTAGACAGTTTCCCAACGGCTCGATCGTTTTTAACGGCCGTTTCACCAGAGGGTGCACTATGCCTGTTTAGAAAAACACGTTTGTCCGAGGTTGCAATGTCCACTTTTAATTTGGTTGGTTCACGGGCGAACAGAGCTTCGATCCCTTCTGATCATTTGGTCATTGATTTACTATCGGAGAACCGGTATTCAAGTTTTCAGTCCAAAAATGAGGGTGAGAACAAGAATTGTCTCTGTTTCTCGCCGTCCGACCGTGCGTTTCGCGTTTCACACCGCCCGAGAATGACGAAACAACTTATCCAATCGTTTACACTCGTCGTGTTTGCACATCTTGCGACTGAGATTCATGCATGAGGGTTTTTTGTCTGTAATTTGTCGGACTACTCCTAGACGGTTGCGGGTAAGTCAACCTCATGGTTGATACTGGCCAGTCGAAACCTGTCCATCATCACCTCATAAGACCAACAGGAGCTGTTCACTTGCACCGAGAGTTCCCTGTCCACTGATCCAAGGTCTGTGACCTCTGACGGCATAATTACTCGCTTAGCAGCTGGTGGGTTGTGGATTGTAGCTTGTTCTGGTAATTTTAGCAAAGTTAATAATTTTACTGCTGTCAGCGTATCCCGATTTCATTGACTTTATCGAATAGCCACATGTCCATGTGTCACATTTTCACTGCGGTTGTTGGCACTCGGTGAACTCGCCTTTGTGTAGTTCTGTTGTTGAGCTCGGTTGGTGTTGTTCTTACCGAAGAACTATCGCCGAATCACTTCGTCGTTCTCGACAATCCTGACGACTGCAGCGTGCAGGTCTGAGTACTGACGATGCAGCTGAATAACTTGCATTGTACATTGTTCCTGCACATTGTACCTGGCAAACTGCGCCAGGTGCGTCTGTGCGCATGTTTGTGTTTCTGGTCCCAGCTCTTGGTCAGGGTTATGATTGGCTGAATGAAGGCACAATAAGCCCGAAACAGTACTGTACCAATCTACCCGCATTCTCTGTCGTCCCTCCTCCCTGCTATTATGACTTGACCGACTTCGGCCTGGTAATTGGTTGCCTGTTCGTGACCGTTGCCACCCATACGGAGCTTGTTTGCTTTGTGAAGCCAATAGATCGGTGGGCGCCCATTCCTGATTGTTCCTGTTGTCAGCAGTATATCCATTCCTCTCGGCATGCAGTTCTCCTAGCCTGTTCTGTCGGTAAGCAAGTATTTGCTACACTCACACTGCTTAATATTAAGACGTTAAGAGAGCGACCTTCTGGGCGAGTCCGCCCTCGGTCAGATGGATTACGTCACTGGACCATCTGGGGCGGCGATACTTCGCTTTGTTACTAACGGTAGGCGTGGTTTTAGAGGTTGCCACCTGACGGGGTACCTCGGTCTTCATGGTCAGCACTGTGTGCGTTGGGGGGAGGGGGGGGGTTGATTGGCTGTAGGACTGAGAGGCAGGCTCGATCGCACCCTAATGTGACCTCAATGGTACTCCCACGAACGTGAAATCAGAGTCGGCCCTCTTGCTTCTGTGAAAACCTGGTGTATTGTGCGGAGACTAGGTCGCGTGTGGCATGCCAGATCGGTTGTTTTCTCTTGTCACCCACTGCGCTCGAGCTCGCCTGCGGTCGTCCTGACTGTCCTGCTACCGGACCCATGCTGGTGGGGAGGGAGAACGTCTGCAGATATTAGGTAAATATGCCAGTACAGTAAAGTAATTCAAAAGCAAGTCATCGTCTTGCGCCAATCATGCGGTGCCGCACACCGTGAACATCTTCATTAGAGACGGTCAAATTACCAGTCGTTTCCAGTTAATAGTAATGTCGTACTTTTTGTGCCTTGTTTGACATCCAAGG